CGAGGGCCATCTTGAATTTTAAAACTACACGTACAAAATGGTTGAACGTTTTCTACAGAAACATAAATTCACTTGACGAATTCAGCCAAGTTAAGCTATTATTGAAAAGTTAAACGTAAAAACGAACAACGCTTAGACTAATTAAACAAATGTCAATTAACTTATCTGTACTATATTTAAATTATTAAGTATAATTTATTATTTAATTAATGCACAGTCTCTTAAAGTTCAAATTTACAACTTATTACATTTTCTTATAATGTTTGAACTTTATAAAAACAACTAATTATTAATTAAAAGACGTAACAAAATCAAGATTTGTTTATGATAAAAACAATATATCAAAGATTTGGTCCATGAAAACTCATAATACATCTTGAGACAACAAAATAAAATATTATATTTTATTTACAAGGTAATATTTTTTTTTTTGTAACAACGAGTATGCTTGTATTTGAAGCAAGGTGTGAGACAAGTTTGATGAGTTCTTGAGTTTTATGTTTTGATAGTTGGCTGGGCAATCCATGTCTCCTTACCAAAGATTAAGTCAAGTCAATGTTAGATCCATATTATACACAAACATATATATATAATAGGTGGAGGTTCAAACGAGAACCCCTGTGATTTATGAAAACACGAGAACAACCCAATAATCTCAAACTTTTTTAATTAATAAATTAACTTTTATTATATATAAATAATTTAATAAGGACAATAATGTAATTAAGTAATTTTTATAATTTTTATTTTATTTTAATTAACCATAATTATCYTTTCACGTTCCAYGTTTTACTCTTGGTAGTTTTCTTCTTCTCCTTCGTTCATGCTTCTTCTCCTTCTCGTTCATGATAATCTCCAGATAGTCGATGGCTTAACATCTTTTCTTTATATCACACCCTATCACATAAGTATCACACTCATATCACATGATTATCACACCCATATTACATGATCACACCAAAATTTTGACTTATAAACCAAAACGATAACCCAAGTGATGTATAACAGTGATTTTCACACACCTATCACATGATTATCACATCCAAATCACATGATGACACCAAAATTTTAACTTATCAACTAAAACGTTAACCCAAGTGATGTATAACGGTGATTATCACACCCCTATCACATAGGTATCACACCCATATCACACGATTACACCAAAATCTTAACTTATCAACCAAAAACGATAACCCAAGTGATGTATAATGGTGATTACTATCACATGATTATCACACTCATATCACATGATTATCACACCTAGTATAATCCTAACCTATCGAAACCATTCGAAATCGTTGTGATAATGTCTAGCATAACCAATTTACTAGATAATGATAAGGCTAATGATAATCACCATTCGAAATCGTTGCTTCCGTCGGTTGATTTTGCGATTTGAAGTTATGAGTCTCCTTGAATTCGTAACCATTTACTAGATAATGATAAGGCTAATGATAATAATGGTCGTGTTTAAAAGATAATGATCGTGTTTAAAAGATTTGATGATATCATTTTCATTATTACCCTTTTAATTTTAAATTTTTTTGAATCTTTTTCAATTTCAGTTTTAATTACAAAAATCTTTTAAATTTTATTTTTTTATCACAATATGTGGTTATTGAGTTGTTCTCGCGTTCTTGTAAATCACATGAGTTCTTGTTTGAACCCTTCCCTATATATGATTCTTATATGATTATTCTTATATATATACATATAAGAAGAATCATATAAGAGAAAGAGTAAAAGTTAGAAACGTAAAAAGAGATCTAGACTCTTAATCACATTCAACTCATTAATTGCGTTTGATACGAGGATTGATCAGCTGCATCTCGATGCATCTCATAAGGGTGTTCAAAAAAACTATTGGACCGTTCAAACCGGATCGTTTTTTTGCGGTTTAAGCGATTTGGTGGTTCGATCCGGGGTTTGAACGTTTTTTTGAAAGGTTTGGACAGAACCAACTGCCAAAAATACGGACGTATTAATTATATTTTTCATGTCGTATGCTAAACTTTTATGACTCAAATTAAAAGAAATGTTTGTACAAGACATTATGTTTTTAGTTTTAAATTTCAATTGAACGTGTTATATAAATTGGAAAAATTCTGAAATCCATAAAAATTCCAAATCGCCATTCAATTTGCTCAATATTTGTCCAAAATTCAATTGTCGCTGGTGAATTCCTTTAATTTTTTTTCAACTTGCTCAATATGTTTTATTTGTTTAGAGATGATTTTTTTTTTTTTATAATTCAGTATACTATTTGTAATCATGTTCTATTGGTAGAAATTTAATCTTTGACATAGATGTTACGTTTTTTAGTTTAAAGTCAATAAGTGGCACAAACCGCCTAAATCGGTCAGACCGCTTTTTTGTGGTCTAGTTTGACTGATTTGGCCACTTACTGTAAAGCCGCTCGGTTTGAAAATTTTCTAAAATGCCATTACGATTTGGTTTGTGGTTTGGAGGGTTAAACCGCCCAAACGTGACCGCGAACACCCCTGGCTTCTCATCCTGATGTGCATAGAGAGCTCTTTTTACGTTTCTGATCTTAACTCTCATTCTCACCAGAGCCCAACCTTATATCTACACACACACACACGAAAGATCTTGTGGGAATAGAAATTAAAGTGATCAATGATTCAGATCATTTCTTACGTTTATCAATTAGGATTGATTACCATTGATCACTTTTAATCTCATCCCAACCCCACATTGTGCTTGATACGGGAATTGGTTCGCAACATCTCGATACATCTCATTAGTGTTGGCATTCAATTAGGATTGATCCAAGGATGAATTTTTTTTTCTTATTTTTCTCACTATAACTTTATTTTCTCTGGAACCCAACCCTATACCATATATAGGGCTTAGGTATTTATTGGCAAAAATAAGTTAGTTTATTCTTTGGGTATACGTTTGGATGAGTTTAAAAGTGATCACTACAAAAATCAGCCGGAGAAATTTCATAGAGGGATCACCCAGAAAATATCAATATTTCCGGTAGAATCTGATGTTTTTCAAGAAAATACTAATAGATCACCCAAAAAATACCTGGGTAAGCTATCATTGATTTGAATTACCCACCAACTTTTGTGATGGTTTTCCGATGAATCACCTCATTAGCGATGGATTTCTCAGTGATACATCCATAGGTATAAGGTCTTTCATTTAACAATATATGTATTTGGTTCACAATGTGAAACTTTTTAGTTGTATTGTTTTCATCTCGGAAACACATAAAAATGTTCACATTATGAAACAAACACACTATGAAATTAATATATGTTAATTAATACATTAAATTTAAGTCGTGGATGTAAAAAATCATGTATGTACCGGTTCTCAAGTTTATTACAACTTTATACGTTCTCAAATGAAGGTCCCCTATATATAAAAGTTGCATTACTACAAAAAAAAAACTTTGTTTTAAGACTATTTCACAGAACATTTTTATAAAAATGGTTTATACGACGAGCAATATAACGTTGTACTTCTAAAGTTCCCACATTATAATATAATCTGATTTTTTTCGAATTTGCTTTCATAAAAATAGAAGTTGTTAGTGTACTCCAACAACTTTGGGGCCGTTTACCAAAGGGCCTTTGGCCTAACGGTATCATAGTCCTTGACCTTCTAGGAGGTCAGGGGTTCAAACCTCACCATAGGTGAGGAGGGTGTGTGAATTTATTTGTTACATTTGCCGTATATAAATATTATGTACTTCAAAAGAAAAAAAAAACTTTGGGGCCGTTTACCAAACGCTTATCCGGGTAAGTGCTTATCAAATCACGTTTACCTCATTGGATGAATAATGGTAAGGATCAAGAATCTTATCGGGTAAGAATGAGACAAGGACCAAGAGTCTTACCCGGTAAGTGAGGGCGGCGAGTCTTACCCGGTAAGTAAGGACGACGACTCTTACCACGGTAAGCGTTTACCGGGTAAATTGTTGCATACGATGTCGTTTTGATGGACTAAAATCTTACCCGATAAGTAAATGAGAGTGCTAAATTTTACCGGTAAGAACTTACCGGGTAAGTGTTTGGTAAACGACCCCTAATTGTCTATAGTTGTTTAAATTTTTATTATGTATTTGGTATGTAGAACATAACAAATATTTGTTTCATAATTGACATGACATTAGAACAAAAAAGATTGGGTGAGACAAAAATACGCTTTTCCTCACATAAATAGTCATGAAGATCTATAGATTAAAGGGTCGTTTACCAAATACTTATCCGATAAGCGTTTAGCGGTAAAATTTAACATTATTACTTACTTATCGAGTAAGATTTTTTAATCAACCAAAACGACATCATATAAAACAATTTACCCGGTAAACGCTTACCATGATAAGAGTCGTAGCTCTCACTTACCGGGTAAGACTCTTGATCTTTGTATCGCTCTTACCGGGTAAGATTCTTGATCATTACTATATTCATCCAGTAAGTTAATGTGACTTGTTAAGCGTTTATGGGTAAAAATTTGGTAAAATGTTCTGAAATTACTAAGCTATTCCTGTTAACTTGTATTTCTAATTAAAAAACTTTAACAAATAAATTATGTATAATCATTATACACAAAACGTAATATATGGACTATGAATCACACTTGAGGCTATGTTTATGCCTCCATGACCTTTGACACATGTCCAAATCAAAACAAAAGATTAAATCTTCAAAATAATTAAAAAAAAAAAGAAAAATTAAAAAAAAGTAGAAATCATGAAACTCTGAAAACAAGACAAAAGTAAACCTAAAACCGTGTTTTCTAGAGTAGACTTTGGTAGTATATATATAACCCAACACCTCTCAAGGCTTTACTAACTCTCCTTTGCACTCCCTCCATAAATCCACCTGCTTATACTTATAGATACAGATCTATATATATATATATATATACACACACACGCACATATAGATACATACATATATATATATATAGAGAGAGAGAGAGAGATACATAAACTGAACTATATTGATCGATATCGAGAAATGGGAAGACAACCATGTTGTGATAAAGTTGGGTTGAAACAAGGGCCATGGACAGCTGAAGAAGACAAGAAGCTTATTAACTTCATCCTCACCAATGGCCAATGCTGTTGGAGGGCTGTCCCTAAACTTGCAGGTACGTTTGTTTCATCGATTTCATGATTTCCGTCAAGAAACGGAGACGGGAAATGGCCATGAGCCATGAATTGATCGAAAGAATCCCGCACGATATTTTCTTGTGCGGGTTGTGTTGCATTCTTGAAATCTTTATTGGACGTCAAAGATTTTTAAGCGTAATAATAAACTGTTTTATAAGATCAAACAGTTTTAGAGAACCTTAAATATCTCATTAAACATATAAAATTGTTGGGATCCTGAGATTTGGTAAAAGGGGTTTTCTCAATTTGATTTGATGATAAATTTCAGGACTATTAAGGTGCGGAAAAAGTTGTCGACTTAGATGGACGAATTACCTCCGACCGGATTTAAAAAGGGGGTTGTTATCTGAATACGAAGAAAAGATGGTTATCGATCTTCATGCTCAACTTGGCAACAGGTAGATAGATATATATTATATATGTATCTCTTTTTATATGTGAGTGGCAGACAAGTGATGCATAGACATATGATTAAAGACTTGGTCTAATTTTTTATATTATTTTGAAAATAAAAACGAACGAAAACCTGATAAAGAAAACGGTATATGCAACTGCAGTTGTTAAAACGAAGTCTTTAGCGGGGTTTTAACGAATACTATGCATTTGATACTACAATAATCACGTAAAAATCGAATTTCAGTGTTTATACATGCATAAAGTTATATATATATATTTGTAATAATGTCGTAAATCGAGGGGTATTTTGGTAAAAGAATGTTTGTGGCCAACATGATTGGACCAATTCTAATGTGTTTACATGGTCCAAGAGCAATATCATTTTTTTGGTTTTTATAACAAAAAGGCTCAAGCTTCTCCATTGGGCATGATAAAAAAAATCATTTCTAAAGAAGCACATGAAAATCATAAAAAAGCAGATGGCTACAAACCATCTGATTTTTATGATGTTTGTAGAATAAATAAATTTGGACGGCTTTTGTAAAAAGTAATTAATTTTATGTTTGGTTTTGGTTGTTAGATGGTCAAAAATCGCATCACATCTTCCGGGACGAACGGATAACGAAATCAAGAATCATTGGAACACCCATATCAAGAAAAAGCTTAAGAAAATGGGAATTGATCCTCTAACACATAAACCACTTCCTCTTCCAACCTCGTCAACTGAACAACAGTCACCACTGCTTCCATCTGCATTAGTCAATGAACCATCGCAGACCAGGGAAAACTCCCCTTCCAAACCAATGGAGTATCAAAATAGTGAGTCGATCGAAGTAGTTAACGAGACGATCTCAATTCAATCAAGTTCAATCACCGAGGTAGCAAAAGACGAACAAGAAGATGGTGAAGAAAGCACAATGATTGCAAAAGAGTCACAAGTAGGTGATTTCTGCACCGATGAAGTTCCTTTGATCGAGCCTCATGAGATTATGCTTCCTAACGACGTTAATATTTTACCCCCGTTATCTTCTTCTTCTTCGTCATCTTCAACCTCATCAAATTACAACATTACGATCTGCAACCAGAATTACGCACATGAGGAACAACACCAGTTTCTGCCAAGTTTTGACTGGTGTTCTTCATCCTTTGACTCTACCACTTATAGTAACTTTGAAGCGGGATTTTGGGATGATGATGACGAATTCATCAATAGTTTGAGCATGTTGATCAATGATTGTGATGAAATCGACACAACCACTAGAAATGATGCTACTTTTACACAAGATCTCACCCAGTGCTCGAGAATGCTCATCGATGATGACACATGGAAATTCGAACAACTGTTGTGAACGAAACGTCAATTTCTTTTTTCTATTTCCTTTTCTTATCTTTTTCCCCAATCCTTTTGGGTGGATTTGTAAATCCTGAAAACTGAAGGGTTGTCATTTCCTAGCACTCCTTTCTTTAGGGGGGGGTTTTTTAGTAAAAAGGAAAAGAAATAATAAAGGGAAAACCCGTTGATTACTTTTGGTGTCCCCGTATACAAAAAAATACAATCGAAAAATAAACATAAAAAATATAGTTTAACTCCACTCGAATCTATAAGAGTTTTTTCCGACTATTGACTTTAGAGCTTTATAAGATTAGCTGAGGTGCATACAAGTCCACAAAAATATTAACGATTAACAATAACTTGATTTTATAACGTTTTGATACGACACTTTTCAAAAGAATGTAGAAAGTCTAATAAAATAATCTACTTCTCCAGTTATATTATACAATAATTTAACAAGATTTCTAAGATTTTGTTTCATTATGATAAAAACTTGTTATGCTGCACAATTTCGTCCTAATAACTAATTATAACGTCTTTGTACAACACATACAGTTGTCGATTTCATAATTTTAAAAGCGTCATTAAATGCTACGTTGTAGCGGTTAAGATATCTACCAAGTCTGAATTTCATAATCACTTAAATCAGTTAAGAATCTTGAATTAGAAATCGTTGTCAATGACCACGTGTTTCTTTTACGGTCTTTTTTCAATAATAACAAATGCTGTATATTAAAGTTTTACTTTAATATCATAATATGTTTTCTTAACTGAATAAAAAAACACAATACACTCACTTAATTAAATTAAAATTATAGTGAACTTTTTAAAATGAGGATTTTGAAAGCAGGTAACTAAAATATATATGAAATCAAAGAAAATATACTCTATTTTAATGAAATTTACTTTTAATAATAAATATAAATAGATTTATGTAATTTTCACACACACACATATATATATATATATATATATATATATATATGTTTTGTGAGACATATGATGCATGATTTTTATATTTGAAACTTCACAGCAAAACACTGTAAAAGTAACATTCACAATGTTTTTACTATGAAGATTCGGATATTTTTATACGATCACAACATTTTGTTATAAAGTTTCAATTGTAAAAAATTGTGTTTCACGTGTCTCACGAAAACAACCTTGTCTCATGTGAACTCAACCCTATATACATATATATATATATATATGCACACACACACACACATATATATATATACATATATATATATATATATANGATTCTAAATGCACACTATGGTTGCTATTTGAACCCTCTAATACTAGTTTTTCAATAAACCCCTTTTAAGTGAAGACAAAATTATTTGTGAACTAAAAGTGTAAAAACAAAAGGTTGATGTTAATGTATATCGATATAGAACTGGAAAGCGGATTTATTTAATAAGTAGAGAATGGTTTATTTGAAAAGGATGTTGCTATATGCATACTTATTTATATCAAAATCATGTTAAATAATTATACACTAAAAATATAAAAGGTTAGTACTTATGTTGATGTATATGAGGATGAAACCAGTAGTTAGATATGCATTTAACAATATATAGGTATACACAATGGCGGACCCACGATTTTTGCCGAACAGATGGACCTCTACAGTGGATCAAAGACCAACTTAATCATCAGATGTGTTTTTAGCCAAATTACACCATTTCAAAGGATTCTTCATGTTATTTGGTTGATTTCGATGAACTTTTTCATTTTTGTGGTTGATTTCGATAGACTTTTTCGGTTTTTTTGTTGATGTTTCTTGAATTTTCCAATATCCTAGAACGCACACCTCTTAAAATTTAGTTACGAAAATCGATTAAAATATAAACAGATTTATGAAACCCTGATAAACGACTCATATATATATATATATATATATATATATATATATAAATATATATATGGGCCAATGGAGAACTCAATAATTTGTGATATTATGAGATGCAATATCAACCATAAATCAAAGTTTAAATAAAGGAATTAATATTTTTTTGGTAATTTTAACTTAAACTATTAATTAGGGGCAATTTAAGGATTTTAAAAATCTCCTCTCTTGTCTCTTCGACGAACTTTATTACGACAAACCTCATGTAAACACAAGATGCATACTTTGATACCTTTGTAAAGAAACTAAGAAAAAAAAAACAATGTGATACCCTTTGTAAAGCAACACAAATAACGAAAATACGTGCTGTAATACACTTCATAAAACAACGAAAATACATTGTAATAAACATTGTGATACACTTTAATCCACAGACATCTTTATATATATATATATATATATATATATATTCATCATCAGATGTGCATTTAACCCGTCACTTAAAATGAGAGAATATACATAGTTGGTTTATATGTCAACATAAGTTAATGACCGTTGGATGTCAACTCTTGAATAAATGATCAACATCCATCACCAACCTTGAAAACGATCGATATTTGGTTTCATTTTCAGTGACATAAGCCATGACCATCTGCTGAACAAGTATAATATTGACTTTTGGTCACATGAGTTATAAATTACTACAACTTTATTATATGTTTTTTAATTATCAAAAAGAAGGTTAATTTAAAGTATTTTTCATATTTTTATTATGGTATTCTTTTTCTTTATCTTTATGTATTTCGTTTAACTTTGTTTTGATAACGACATGTTTGAACTTAACGTCGAAGTTCCCTGATCGAAAGGCACGATGCAGTAGTAAAGATGAAGAAACTTTTGCCGCTCGATGTTACTCGTTTTTTTTATAACATTGGTAGTATTAGGAAAGGTAAAACTATAAAAGAAACTTGAGAAATTTATGCAAATAGCCATTTCACAAAATTGATTTCGGTATTTAATTACTTTAGGGACCATTTTCTACAAGTAGTCAAACTTTACAATCAGTTATTTACTTTATTTTATATCCACTGTTTTTTTGTTTTTCATTTTACACATTTATTATATTAACACATATAATCATATGTTAAATACATGAAAAAATTACGGTTTTTTTTTTTTTTTTTACAAATTATACCATTATAATTGTCTCGTCGATACGTTCAAAATAAACCTAATGTTTAAATATTTTTGGATTTAATCTTATGTTATTAAGTATTATAAAGCTTATGAATTAGTTTTAGTACTTATATTTAATACCCTTATAGTACAGATTATATGTTTTGATATAATCTATTAATAATCATAAAGGTAAAATGAAAAAATAAATAAAAATACATTAAATAACTAATCATAAAGGTAGAAAATGTAGGTTTTAAAAATAATTTTGTACGTACTTATGATATTTAATGATATAAGATCAAATCCAAAAATATTCAATATTGAAGTCATTTTATGTTTAAAATAGTAGAGAACATGGTTTGTCTCGAAAAGACTCATGGTTTGGTTTTTATTTGAAAATTTAAAATGTATAATTACAAAGAGTTGTAATTTTCTTTTAATTGTTTTAAATAGAAATAAATCATAAAATAGAATAGGACATGTTGTATTTCTATTTTCATATATGCAACTATCCAAAAATGGTGGTCCAAGACGCCATGACAGAGTGCCTGGAGTTCACCAAGTTGGCGGGGCCAGTAAACTTGAAGACATACTTAAACCGACTGTGATTGTTGTGTTGGCTCAAAACATTAGAGGCAAAACCATATATTATGTTGTTATGATTGTTTACTTGCGTTTTTATTTATTTTTTCTTCTTATTATTGCTATAATATTTTCAAAACCTTTTAAATAAATTCAAACGCAAAATAAATTTAAATCAGTAATAAATTATGATATTTTAAAATTAATATGATTATCAAAATCAAACCGATTTTTGGTTAAAATTTTCAAAAAAGAGTTTAATTTTGGATAAAATCAAACATTTTTAAAAGCAAATAAAATGTTTTTTAAAATTCAAACCTTTTACAAATATAAACTAAACATCACCTATTTAAGATACTTGTCAATGCTTATAGAATTCAGTATGGTTAGTGTTTAGCTAATCATGCCAGATGATTGGTGTGAGACGAAGCAATGTGATTTAAGTGTACAGTTGCATTTGGCCACTCGTTTAAGTAGTCATGTTTTGGACGACCGATCCTAACAAACGCTAAATCATGTGTTTAGGTGGGATCCCAATACCTTTATATGGTCAATTTACTTGGAATTATCATAAACATTTGCATTGGCCATCTATGAGTGTTTTTAATGCATTGAAGTGGGATTAAATGTGCCAATTCTGATATATGATATATTGGGTAGAATCCCAAGAACACCTAAGAGTTATGTTCTGTTGATTCTCTCTTATTGATTTGATGATAATTCATTTTACCTGTCGAAGTATATCGTTTCTGTTTATTTAGTTTCACCGGTCATCACTAAGTCTGTTCAGTTATCGTTGAACATGTATTGTAACTTTCCAATGACTGTAATACTTCAAGAAACAAAGCACACACCAAAGAACCTTCAACAATGTCGAAGATAGAAACTGAAAATTAGAGACTAGTGCGTTCATGATCTGAAGCAACATTAAGTGATTACAAGCTCGTCTACATATGTGTGAAGACTGCACAAGTTTCAATGAATGCTAAAGAGACCTGTTGATCATCTCTCTCAGTAATTTGATGATAATCCCTTTTTCCTTCCACGTTGTATTTGTGTTTCGGTATTTTCAGTTCCAGCGATCATCAYTGAGTATGTTCAGTGATCGCTGAAGAACTTGCATTGTAAATTCATCAGAGACAACAATACTTCAAGAAGACAACACTCACACCAAAGAACCTTYARCRAACGTCGAAGACTRAAACTGAAGATTAGAGACTGGCRAGTACGTGWTCTGAAGCGGTATTCAGTGATTACAAGCCTGACTACATATGTGTGAAAACTGCTCTAGCTTCAGCGAATGATGATGAGACCTCCAAGTCATTCCAGCATTTAGCGATCAAAGGAAGCTTGCTTAGCACGATTGTTGTTGTCTTGTCCTTATGCACACAAAGGACAAACCCATACCCATGCAAAAGTTAGTACGGTACGGAGCCGATTAGTCGACTCTTTGTCCACCAACTTTAGGCAAGGATCTCTGCTCAAAAGTAGTGCTTTTGTACT